GTTAGATTTATTTTTGCTTTAAAAAAGAAAGAAAAAAAGACAGATGTTTTCTATTAACAAAGAAAAAGTAAAGGAAGTAGAAGAAGCATCTTTCTGGGACTGCTAGCTTTAGACCTTAACCAGAGAAGCAGTCCCTGATGGCTTTGTCTGCAGCCTGAAAATCATGTTTAAACATGTCTTGACCACAGGTCCTGTTGAATCACCGGCAGATACAGTTTGGTTGGCACATGCAAATGAGGTGGCTCTAGTACCAAAATAGTAGAATTTTTAAAGACAGTGGCTATAGAAAAATTTAAGTCTATTAAAAAAAAAAAATTGGATTTCTTTGCATGGTTCTTGTGATTGACTGGAAACCTCTGTGCAATCTGAGGGAGCTTTGCCTCCGCTGTGGAAGCCAAACAGCCAGCTGGCTGGCCTCACAGATGGGTCTGATCCAGGACCTGGTGGGAGGACAGGTGTAACAAGTGTGGAAGGACCAAGCAGCTGTTTGCACGAGTTTGCTGCCAGAGGCGATTGGGGTCTCAGCTGTGCTGTTACAATAAGCTGGATAGTGACCTAGAGACCAGAGCCCTTGAGTGACTTGATCTTGTGCTTTGCAGGTTCTATCCCAGGTCCAAGTCCTGTCCAGCACCAGCACCCAATGCAGATCTTGGAGGTAAGTGCTAAAAAGGTTGTGTTCTGGGTGATGGCCAAAGACTCTTTAGTTAGGTCTCTGTGACCTAGGAGAGTGAAAGTGCCCTGAACAATAATCCTTTCTGGCTCTTGATGGGGTTAAAATATGTCCTGTGCAGTTTCCTCTTGCTTTCAGAATTCCTGGGGAGAATCTCCAGGGAGATCCTGTGAAAAACTTGCTTGTAAACTTTCTCTTCCCTCCCTGACAACACCTACCCAAGAAATACCTTGTTTATCTTTTAGATCTCCTCTGCTTTCGTATAAGCCATTGTTGGCTGCTTTGGTGCAAATAGGTTGGAAGATGCACATTGATGAAAGTTGGCTAGAACTGCCCAAAAGTTTGCATCTGGTATGAGGTTATGTCTGTCTACACCGGCGAAAAGCTCTAGGAGAGAGGCAAGGTTTCATGTGCAGGACATATTGCAGATCAAGGAAGCATGAATGGTATAGACAGGCCTGGGATGCAGTCAGTGATAGAAGTTTCAGCTGTGGTAATATAAGATATTTGGGGATATAAATGTCTCTCAGAGAGAACCACCAAATGGGCTGCAAAAGTGCCTGTGATGTGTATAATGATGTTTAAGCTTCGTCTTACCTTATGGTGGGGCAAGTCTTACATACTGCTATATGTTACTAGTGAATTAAAACACAGGCACACATTCAAAATCACTGCAATTTTATGCCTCAGTTACAAGTAATTTTGAAGGTGCATCTTTAACTCCTTCCACAGAAGTCCAAACTATGAGTGCTTGATTCCCATTTGTCAGCAGTGTCTCTGATCTCTGCCCAGCTATGCTCATAAAGTGCCTCCATCTATGTTTACATAGATGTTTGCTCTCCAAACAGTTCTCGTCATTCTGAAACTACTTGAGGAATGTACCTGACAACTTGGGTGGAAAAACATTCTCTAGATGTAAAAGACTGAAAGAACTGCTGTATATACTGGTCTCAGTGTTCACCAAAATTCTAGGTCTGGACTGAAATATTTCTTTTGACTAATATTTTTATTTGTGTAATACTATGTCTACAAAAGTGAAACATTACAAGCAAGTAAAGAATGGCAGAATGTCTTCTCGTTGTTTTAGACATCAAAGAGAAAAACAAAATTAAAGGAACATAGTAACATCTTCATTTGGAACTGTATTTTAAATAGAGCAACTATTTATTTGCATTTTGGTAACCTTTCTGAAAAGATAGTAAAGAGAGAGAGACCGAGACATTCTTCATCCGGTTATAAATGACATAGATACAATGAGTGTTATGTCTGTGTAAGTCAGAATACCAAGTGTATAAATATAACTATTTTAAAGCTCTGGGTTTAGACTGTTAAAAGCAAAACATTTTGCTTGCGTGGTGTTGAGCAGTTTATTTCACTTACCACTCTAAGCCACTTTATCTCCTGTGCTGTTGTTTGCTATTCCTAATGATTGTTAGGGAACTAAGAACAGCTCTGAGGATATACTGGCAAAGGTAGTCTGATAATCTAGCTGCATAAAAATTCAGGTGTTTCTTGTAGCTGTTAAAATGCCTCTGTTCAATAAATGTAAATAATTTTACTAGAACATGCAGTTCTAGAAATGGTATGCATATTGTGTTCAGGAGAAACCATCCAACCATTCAGGCTACTAACACTAAAACCTAGTTTATATTTCTGAATTGAAACAATGCTGTATCTTTGGAACTCGTATAGTGAACCAAACCTTTTTGGTGGTATAATTTTTTTTAAAATCTGGAATTAAATTAAGAAATCAAGCAATTTTTAAAAAGGAAATGGGATGGGGATGTTTACATATTTTGTCCTTTCAGGATCGTTTTATGTGCTGCATTAAAGCTGCACGGCTGAACATCCACGAATTGTGTATTTCTTTGTGTGGTATATTGTAGATATAAAGGATAGAATTTCAGAAATGTAAAACATTGTGCCTTGCCCTTCTTCTAGGGAAACCTTAAAATGTCTTGCCAGGCTCTAGCTTTTGCATTCTACCTCTTTTATTTTCCAGAAATGATTTTTTTTTTTAAACTTTGTAATTAGCTACATGGCTGTATAGAGGAGGAAAGTATTGCCGGCAATAATGTGTGTCTACACATTGAGGCTTGCTCAATGTGTAGACACAACATGCAAACATCTTGTAACCCTTCAGCTGAGTATCAACACACCATTAATGAGCAGACAGCTTGAAAACTCAGCAATAGCAGAGCGTTTGTTAAAGAGAAACTGCTTTGATCTGGCCATTGCATCTCTTAGAATTGCTGCATTATTATGCCTAACAGAGGGCTCATATTTAATTGGTCATCATACCTAATCTTTAAATGGTCCCCCTTTATACCAGGATTGTACAAAAGAGGAATTCCTGAAGTATGTGTTAGCTACAGATAACTCACAGCATGTTTGTTTTGGAGGAAGAGCAAAGGAAGGAAAATGACATATTTGTAAAACCTTTTTTTTTCCTCTCTCCTCATCTAGAGCAAATGAAAATAGTATGAAGCGATGAGAGACCATCCAAGGTAATTCTAAGCTGTCCGTGAGCGTTTTGCTCCACCCTGTATACACTTTATTTTTGTTGTTCTGGCTGTGGTCCCTTGAGACAAATATTGCTGTGTCTTGGAATGCTTGTTACTGCATCTGGAGATGAGAAAATTCTTTCTCCCCTCAGCAATCTCTGTGGATATCAACAAACAGGTACAACATGCTCAGGCAGTGCTGGTTAGAGGGGGGGGAGAAGTCAAATAAACCTAATGTGCCAGTATAACTCAGGAGGCTCTGGATGAAAGTACTTCTGTGACTTCTTGCAAGTTATTGAGTAGAAGCATTACTTAAAAAGTAACTATAGTTACTGTAAGAGTATTAGAAGCATGCAAGATTTGATTGTCCCAAAAGGCAAACTGCTAAGACTTTGGTACAGATGTCAACACTGTTTTAAATGACTTGTTTTCAAATCTTTACTAATTACTGCAAAATACGTGGATTGTAATAAACCAGCTTGTAATTAGTCTGGGACCCTTCCCTCTTACAGGTCCTTTAGTGAAACTAGGGCAGTATTTATGTCAGTACAGTTTTCTGCTGTGGCAGTGATTGAACACTGGATTAAGACTTTGAATGAGTTGGGCATGGAGGAGCAAGCAGGGAAGGACTCTATTAGCAATAAGTATCTGGGAGCCTAATTTAACAAAATGTTTTGTTTCTACATTAGATACACATTTCTGGTGTGTTTTCTTCCTCTCTTTTGATCAAGGGTGTGTTGGACTTGAGCCAAAGACTTGTCTGTACACGGAACTAGAATAATTACTCTGGAAAAAGTAGCTTGGATTAACTCCGTGGGAGCAGAGTATTGTTCCAGAAGGAGTTATTTGGAGTATCAACATATTTTGAGTGCTCTGTCTCAATTGCCCTTTTCTCAGTTTCTCTGGAATCTTAGCTTCTCTCTTCATACCCTGGATATTGGCAGAAAAGAACAACTGAGTATTGTCACACTGCCTGGAATTTGTAAGGTTTTAAAAGTTTGCATTTGCTTCCCTAAACCAGAGCACTAAACCAAGATTCTGTTCAAAAACCAACACCTCTCTTACTGGAATGGGCAAAGTTGATAAGGTATGCTTGCAAATAACCTTTTGGGGTTATAGGTGAAAGCATAAGAGAAAATGACCTGGGATCCAAACCCACATATTGTTTTTGAACAATTAAAAGGTAGGAGTAAGAAATTTTCAGATGTGTTCAGAGATAGGAAATCCTGGAGGAGGAGATTCAGGTATTTAGTTTCTGTTCTTATGTGCTCTGTGAAGAGTCTGGAAAACAGATACTTTTTTTTTTTCCTCCTTCTCCTTTTTTTCTTCTTTTGCATATGTTGTTTGGGGAACACAGACTGAATACTGTGATCATGCTGTCCGTAGTTCTGTATCAACCGTAGAACACTTGAGCAATGTGTTATGCCCGTGGTCGGTACCCGGCTAAGCAGCAGCCAGAGCGGTATCAGCGCCCAGGGGGACACGGTTTGATATCTCAAACACATGCCGCCCCTCGCCCTGGGAGCTCTCGGCCGTTTTCCCAGCGGTGCGCGCAGGCTACGGCCCGGCCCTCACCTGGGGCCGTGACCCGCCCCCCGGTACGGCTTTATTTCGCGTCCCGAAGGGCAAAGACATCCGAGGCTGGGGCGCGGCAGGCACTGAGCCCCCTGGGGGCCCCGGGAGGCGGTGGGCGACGCCCTCGGCTGCCACTCCCAGGGGAAGGGGCCCGGCCCCGGGGACATTTTGTGCTGTGCCGGAGGCCGGGCACCCACGGAGGGCGGGGCGGGGCGGGCCCGGCGCGGAGCCGGCGGGGCACAACGGGCGCGGGGAGCGGCGGCGGCGCTGGCAGCAGGTTCCCGTGCTGGGCGAGAGCAGATGGCGGCCCTGCTCCTCATCTACCTGCCCCTCCTGCCGGGGCTGGCCGGCGCCTTCAACCTGGACACGGACAACGTGATCAGCTGGAGCGGGGAGACGGGCAGCCTCTTCGGCTTCTCCCTGGCCATGCACCGGCAGCTGCAGCCGCAGGAGAAACGGCTGTAAGTGCACCGCGCCCCGTCCGGCCCCGTCCCGGGCCGCCTGCGGCGACCCTCCTACCTTCCACCGAGGGAAACTTCCCCTGGCGGCGGGCCGGGGCCGGCATCCCCCGCGGGGAGTCCGGCCGGGCGGCGGGAGCGGGACCGGGGGGCCCTCGGAGGGATGGGCAGCACCTGCCGCGGGGCGCTGCGGAGCCGGGGCAGCGCCGGGCGGCGGGGACCTGTGGGGAACCGGGGTTGGAAAGGGGAAGGAGCGACAGCCGCCGCTGGGAGCCCTTCCCGCCGCTGCGCTCTCCTGCGCGGGCCGCGCCGGCAGGCTGCAGTGAGCTGCTCCGCCGGAGCCTGCCCAGCCTCTCGGGTTTGTTCTCCCTGTGCCTACCCGGCCTCGCCTGAGCCAGGCTCTGCTGTTTAAGACGGACCGTGCCCGGGAGTGCAGATGAGAGGTGATACAAAGTCAGGAGAAATAAGTTGGTGCTAGTGGCATATGCGTGAAACTTCTTTTGGGAAATTAGAAAGGCAAAATAACGCTCCTGTGTACATCTTCAGCATCCTTGCTGCTTTGTTGTCCGTAGCGGAGCAGTGCTGGACCCCACCCTCTCCAGTAGTGCCGGATGGAGTGAGAGCATAAAGTATTGTTAAATAAATGCTCCCTCCTCAAATATTTAGTTTTAATTCAAGGCAAGATATGCCCGTTATCCATATGGAGTTAACTAGAGAAGGAAGCTGTAAAGAAATAGTATTCTTAATAAAGTTAGGTAGTAAATTGAAAAATCCTGTGGGATTTACCCATAGCATCCTGAGGAATAAAATGCAAATCTGTGAGCTCCTTTCCAGAGGCCTTTATCTTAATTTTTGACAGGATTACACTTGAAAAGGTCTCATGTTAGTACTACCAGGAAAGCAATGCCTGAAGCTTGTTAGTCTCCTGTTGTATTGTCAGTACTGGCAAAATGAGTGTGTAGGAACATGCAGGCAGCCAATTACTGAGAAGAAAGAAGCAGAAACACAAGGACAGTCACAGTATTCAAGCTGGTATGTACTATTTGGCTGAAATGCCTCAGAGATTAGTGGCATGAAAGTTCTGTATTGTGTGTCTAGCAAGTGCTTCCTCAGGCAATCCAGTGTGGGGAAAGAGCAGAGCCAGATGCTATCTGCCTTGACATGGCTTTCTGAATCCAGGCTTTCATGAGAAGCAAGGGTCTCTAATAGAGACAAAACCAGACTAGACAAACTGTGATTGTCTAGTGACATGCACTTCTGAGTATGAGGTGTCTTGGTCATTTTTCAAATCCATGAGTTTTAGCATAAAGAATTGGAATGCTACCCTGGGTAGCTGCTGGGTAGTATGCTTGGAATGAAACTTTTTATGTCAAACAGGCATATTGTAGTCAACATCATTTTTGTTTGTAAGAGGCTATGTGTGGCTTTAAGAGAACAAGACATTAAATATGCTGAACTATCTTTCTTAGGGACTGAGCTGGGTTTAGCTCACATTTTGCGAGTTGTGTCTTCTGAAACAGGAGGTTTGGTGGGGAGTCTTGAAGAGAAACCTTCCATGTTAGGCTGCATTTTTTATATCAAATAAAAATGAGCTAAGTTGAGCTAATATGAAAGGATTTGTGTGGTCTTTCCATGGAAACCTCATGCAGTTTCTAAATTGATTGACTCTTCATAGATGGAACAGTTGGTATCTGCTGCTTCCAGATACTTGGGGAAGGTAGAAAGTCATGGGAACAGAGGTCATACTGAGGTCTACTGCTGAGAGACCAGTATGTCTAATTCCTGCATGCTGCCTGTTACCTGTAACAGCAGGACTCAGGGGTGCAATACCTTTGCATTCCCAAATGCATTTTGATCTGTCTTACCTCTGCTGCAAAAGTGGATTTATGTACAGCTATCTCTTAGTCAGGTATTAGATAGGTGTATCTTAGAAGTATTTATTTTATCCCTTCTTCTTGAATGGATGCTAGTTTCAAAACTCAGTTACGTTTAGAGTGTGAACACCCTGAAGTAGTTGCCAAAAATACAGAAACTCAAATTCATACTGAAACGTAATTAAAATGATACTTGGAATCTCATCTGGCAGGGACCCTCATTTCAAAGAAACCTGTCAGCTTGAGCACCCTTCTACCCCTCCAGTTTTACAAAATTAGAAACAGGTTGTCATAGACATGTGCAAGATCAGGCCATCTTTGGAAAAACAAGAAAATGAGAGAAAGTGAAATACATTGATTCTGTTTAAGGGCTAATGACTTGAAGCAAGGCTTGGTAAAAATGAAATTATGAAATTTTTCTCTTACCCCACTTCAGCATTTGTTAAGTGAAATGGTTCCCTCTTCCTCACGCAGAATTATTCAGTGTTAATCATTACAGCAATCCTCTCTAAAGAGGAGGGTGGAGAATGGCTAGGAAGTGTGACAAATAAAGGTACAGCTGTAATAGCTTTGACTAAACATGGTATTTGCTTTTGATCATCTTTTTTTCTTAGTCACAGAATACTGTATTCAGATTCAGAATACAATATGGATTGCATATTAGCTTTGAATGGCAAATTAATTTATTAGTGTTAGCTACAAATGTTATGTTTGCTAATGAGGATTTACTTAACTTTCAACATTATGAACAGATGACTGTTCAATTGCTTTGACATTTGTTGTAAATGGTACTGAGTATAAAACTATGGACCAGTCAGTAACAAGCTTTTGGTTTTGACTACCTTCAGGTTAGAAGAGTTGTAAAGGTTGTCAGATTGAGATGACAAAAGCTGTAGTTTACAGTGACTGAAAGAGGGCCTTTCTAATGGTATGAAAGGCAGATGAATGCAGACTTTATGTGCATTGAGGAACATTAGTGTTGGTGGTACCAAGGCAGCCTCCCTGGATTTGTGCCTATGGTTCTGGTTCATTGTCAAGCGAGGTGAATAAGGCAGCAGAAAAGGCTGATTGTCGCTCTGTTGGGAACGGTGAGAAGAATGACACAGACTCTCTTGTGAGTTGGACAGGAGAGCTTAAGGTTTGTTACCTCAGATCTTCTTTTATAGACCGATACGTGAAAGTACAGAAAGGTAAAACCCTTATTGGTTAGTAAACTAACACATCACCATCATTGGTCAGTGGTGTACACCACCCTTTGACCTTCTCTTGCAAGAAAACAAGAAACTGACAAACAGCACCGGCAAGGCTGTCTTCTATCTCTGAGGATTGTTTTAATTCCTCCTTACGATTTCCCACACCACTTTCTCAGGCGAGACTGAGAAAATTATGCGGCCTGCTATTCCACAGGCACTGTGCTGCCTGCTTTTGCTCATATTTAGCATCCATAGGCTGATGGAGCCCTAAATGAGCAGGGCTTATTGCCCTGTGTAAGTTTGTTCTGTTTTTAATCTGTGAATATGATGATAGGGAGTTCTGGTTCTGCAGGGGGATGGTGGCACAACAGCAGTGCATTTCATCTGCAGACTGGAAGAAGGTTTGTAACTTAGAGGGGTCTGAGACTAGGAGATGGTATAACTATAGGAGAAATGTAAAAATGTAGAATGTAAGTGGTCCTGTGATGAAAATGTGTCTCCAGCATCTCTAGATGGAGACTACACTGATTGTGCATATATTAGCTACTATATGTTATAAATATATTACTATTATAATAAAAATATAATTACTAGCTACTCACTATTTATGTAGTGCATGTAGTCACATACATGTAATTTTATAGAATATATAGAGATATGATCTGTATGTATGCATGTACGCTCCATGTAAGATGTCCAGCAAGTCCATTCCAGTTTGGTTGTAATTTACAGTGATTTAAGCATCTTGAATTAAAACACAAGCATCAAGGATATCTAAATTGGTAGATTACTTTCATAGAATCATAGAACCCTAGAATCACTTGGGTTGGAAAAGACCCTTAAGGTCAGTCCAAGTGTAAATCTAATACCCATCAGCCAGTTCTTATTTGTGATTTAGAATGATAGAATCACAAAATATCCTGACTTGCAAGGCACCCAGAAGATTTACTTGCAAGTAATCTGGTATTATTTTCAGTAGAAGTAGGGAGCTGAATTCAGGTAGGTTTCTTGTTATTGTGTAAGGCAAAAAAGGGAAGATATTGTAGTTACCAGCATTCAGGATTCTCCCATCAGCTGAAAAGCTGTATTGAAAGCTATGGGTAGGCACTTTATGTCAAAACTGCACTGACCATTACCAGCCATAAAATCCTAAAAATTGCAGTGTCTTACTGAAATTTTTACTTGTCACAGGTTTTGCTGATACTGCACTTCTCTATTGTGAGCTATTATATCAATACATAGCAGAGTTGCCTTAGGTCAGCAGGACTGCTGACATTGCTGTACTGCTGCAGTGCATCCTCAGTGGCATTTAGCCAGTACTTTTGTGTTCTCTCAGGGCTAGGGCTCAGAGACTCTTTGCTCCAGCAACAAAGAACTGGATTATGCTGCTCTGCAGTGGAAGATGACAATTTCTGCTTGCAGAGGTGGTGTAGTGTAATTCAGACTTTGGGTGAACTGAAGTAGTAACAATGCATGTTTACACCTTCAGGTTTAAAAGTTGTAATAGTGATGGTCTTTAGTTAGTGCTTCTGTCAATTGAAAAATAAAGGATTTGTAATAAATTTCCTTTTTTTTTAGGCTGTGATTTTACTGTGTCACTGCACCTAGTATTTTCTTCTCTTAAGTGTTTCTCTGATTTTCTCTGTGCAAGCTATTCTTGGATAACCTGCTTAGTGTGCTTTATTTGCTTTCTTAGTGATAGTAGAGAAGTTTGTGTTCAAGATAGATGTCCTGTGGCAAAGGTCAGGATCAAATGAAGCTGGAAGGGAGGAGTAGTTGAAGAGTTTTCTTGTAGTGGTAGGGGACAGATTTTCAAGGAAGATCCATTGTGCTACTAATATCATGAGTGAAAGAAGTGAGATGAATTTAAGTTGCATAAGGGATGTGTAGTTGTTACAGGAGGAGCAAACTGCAGAAGGCTGGCTTTTTTCCCAGT